AAAAGTCTGTATAAAACCATATGCTTTGATCACACTATCAAAGCGTTTATTCCAACTCCGAGATGCTTGCACCAGTCCATAAATGGATCGCTAGAGCTTGCACACTTTGTTAGCACCTTTTGGATCAACAAAACCTTCTGGTTGCATCATATATAACTCTTCTTCTAGAAATCCATTCAAGAATGCAGTTTTGACATCCATTTGCCAAATTTCATAATCATAAAATGCGGCAATTGCTAACATGATCCGGACAGACTTAAGCATCGCTACGGGTGAGAAAGTCTCATCGTAGTCAACCCCTTGAACTTGTCGAAAACCTTTCGCAACAAGTCGAGCTTTATAGATAGTTACATTACCATCAGCGTCAGTCTTCTTCTTAAAGATCCATTTATTCTCAATGGCTTGCCGATCATCGTGCAAGTCAACCAAAGTCCATACTTTGTTCTCATACATGGATCCCATCTCAGATTTCATGGCCTCTAGCCATTTTGCGGAATCTGGGCTCATCATCGCTTCCTCATAGTTCGTAGGTTCATCATGGTCAAGTAACATGACTTCCAGAATAGGATTACCGTACCACTCTGGTGCGGATCTTACTCTGGTAGACCTACGAGGTTCAGTAGAAACTTGATCTGAAGTTTCATGATCAATATCATTAGCTTCCTCACTAATTGATGTAGTTGTCACAGGAACCGGTTCTTGTGATGAACTACTTTCCAATAAGGGAGCAGGTATAGTTACCTCATCAAGTTCTACTTTCCTCCCACTCACTTCTTTCGAGAGAAACTCCTTCTCTAGAAAGGATCCAAATTTAGCAACGAAAATCTTGCCCTCAGATCTGTGATAGAAGGTGTACCCAACAGTTTCTTTTGGGTATCCTATGAAGACACATTTCTCCCATTTGGGTTCGAGCTTATCTGGTTGAAGTTTCTTCACATAAGCATCGCAACCCCAAACTTTAAGAAACGACAACTTTGGTTTCTTGCCAAACCATAGTTCATGAGGTGTCATCTCAACGGATTTTGATGGTGCCCTATTTAACGTGAATGCGGCCGTCTCTAAAGCATAACCCCAAAACAATAGCAGTAAATCAGTAAGAGACATCATAGATCGCACCATATCTAGTAAAGTACGATTACGACATTCAGACACACCATTTCGTTGTGGTATTCCGGGTGGCGTGAGTTGCGAAACTATTCTGCATTGTTTCAAGTGTAGACCACACTCGTAAGTCAAATATTCTCCTCCACGATCAGATCGTAGAAATTTTATTTTCTTGTTACGATGATTTTCCACTTCACTCTGAAATTCTTTGAACTTTTCAAATGTTTCAGACTTGTGTTTCATTAAGTAGATATACCCATATCTGCTCAAATCATCTGTGAATGTGAGAAAATAACGATACCCGCCGCGAGCCTCAACATTCATTGGACCACAAACATCAGTATGTATGATTTCCAACAAATCAGTTGCTCGCTCCATAGTTCCGGAGAACGGCGTTTTAGTCATCTTGCCCATGAGGCACGGTTCGCAAGTACCAAGTGATTCATAATCAAGTGATTCCAAAAGCCCATCAGTATGGAGTTTCTTCATGCGCTTTACACCGATATGACCTAAACGGCAGTGCCACAAATAAGTTGCACTATCATTATCAACTCTGCATCTTTTGGTTTCAACACTATGAATATGTGTATCACTACTATCGAGATTCAATAAAAATAGACCACTCTTCAAGGCTGCATGACCATAAAAGATATTACTCATATAAATAGAACAACCATTATTCTCTGACTTAAATGAATAACCGTCTCGCATCAAACAAGATCCAGATATAATGTTCATTCTCAACGCTGGCACCAAATAACAATTATTTAGGTCTAAAACTAATCCCGATGGTAGATGTAGAGGTAGCGTGCCGACCGCGATCACATCGATTTTGGAACCATTTCCCACGTGCATCGTCACCTCGTCCTTAGCCAATCTTTGCTTAATCCGTAGTCCCTATTTCGAGTTGCAAATATTAGCAACAGAACCAGTATCAAATACCCAGGTGCTACTGCGAGCATTAGTAAGGTACACATCAATAACATGTATATCACATATACCTTTGTTCACTTTACCATCCTTCTTATCCGCCAAATACTTGGGGCAGTTCCGCTTCCAGTTTCCAGTCTGCTTGCAGTAGAAGCACTCAGTTTCAGGCTTAGGTCCAGACTTGGGTTTCTTCTCTTGAGCAGCAACTTGTTTGTTGTTCTTCTTAAAGTTCCCCTTCTTCTTCCCTTTGCCCTTTTTCTTGAGACTGGTGGTCTTGTTAACCACCAACACTTGATGCTCCTTCTTGATTTCTACCTCCGCGGCTTTTAGCATTGCGAAGAGCTCGGGAATAGTCTTGTCCATCCCTTGCATATTATAGTTCATCACGAAGCTCTTGTAGCTTGGTGACAGTGATTGAAGAATTCTGTCAATGACACTATCATCAGGAAGATTAACTCCCAGTTGAATCAAGTGATTATTATACCCAGACATTTTGAGTATGTGTTCACTGACAGAACTATTCTCCTCCATCTTGCAGCTATAGAATTTATTGGAGACTTCATATCTCTCAATCCGGGCATTTGCTTGAAATATTAACTTCAACTCCTGGAACATCTCATATGCTCCATGACGTTCAAAACATCATTGAAGACCAGGTTCTAAGCAGTAAAGCATGGCACACTGAACTATCGAGTAGTCATCAGCTTTGCTTTGCCAGACGTTCTTAACATCGTCAGTTGCATCAGCAGCAGGCCTGGCACCCAGCGGTGCTTCCAGGACGTAATTCTTCTGTTCAGCAATGAGGATAATCCTCAGGTTACGGACCTAGTCCGTGTAATTGTTGCCATCATCTTTCAACTTTGCTTTCTCAAGGAACGCATTAAAATTTAACGGAACAACAGCATGAGCCATCTATCTACAACAAATATAGACAAGCAAAATACTATCAGGTACTAAGTTCATGATAAATTTAAGTTCAATTAATCATATTACTTAAGAACTCCCACTTAGATAGACATCCCTCCAATCCTCTAAGTGATTGCGTGATCCATATCAACTACACCATGTCCGATCGTCACGTGAGATGGAGTAGTTTCGACGGTGAACATCAATATGTTGATCATATCTACTATATGATTCACGCTCGACCTTTCGATCTCCGTGTTCCGAGGCCATATCTGTTATATGCTAGGCTCGTCAAGTTTAACCTGAGTATTCCGCGTGTGCAACTGTTTTGCACCCGTTGTATTTGAACGTAGAGCCTATCACACCCGATCATCACGTGGTGTCTCAGCACGAAGAACTTTCGCAACGGTGCATACTCAGGGAGAACACTTCTTGATAATTTTAGTGAGAGATCATCTTAAAATGCTACCGTCAATCAAAGCAAGATAAGATGCATAAAGGATAAACATCACATGCAATCAATATAAGTGATATGATATGGTCATCATCATCTTGTGCTTGTGATCTCCATCTTCGAAGCACCGTCGTGATCACCATCGTCACCGGCGCGAGACCTTGATCTCCATCGTAGCATCGTTGTCGTTACGCCATCTATTGCTTCTACGACTATCGCTACCGCTTAGTGATAAAGTAAAGCAATTACAGGGCGTTTGCATTTCATACAATAAAGCGACAACCATATGGCTCCTGGCAGTTGCCGATAACTTCGGTTACAAAACATGATCATCTCATACAATAAAATATAGCATCACGTCTTGACCATATCACATCACAACATGCCCTGCAAAAACAAGTTAGACGTCCTCTACTTTGTTGTTGCAAATTTTACGTGGCTGCTGCGGGCTTAGCAAGAACCGTTCTTACCTACGCATCAAAACTACAACGATAGTTCGTCAAGTTACTGCTGTTTTAACCTTCGCAAGGACCGGGCGTAGCCACACTCGATTCAGCTAAAGTGAGAGAGACAGACACCCGCCAGCCACCTTTAAGCACGAGTGCTCGTAACGGTGAAACCAGTCTCGCGTAAGCGTACGCGTAATGTCGGTCCGGGCCGCTTCATCTCACAATACCGCCGAACCAAAGTATGACATGCTGGTAAGCAGTATGACTTGTATCGCCCACAACTCACTTGTGTTCTACTCGTGCATATGACATCTACGCATCATCTATCTTTCTCTCGTTCCTTCTTCATGTGTCATATATCTGTGTCCTTCTTCCTCTCGTTCGGCGATCACCGCGGCCACGGGGTTTGAATGTGTGATACTATGAAACAAAAGCAATCATAAACTAGAAAACACGACATGAATCTCTAAGCAAGGACAGACCTGTTAGAGATATATTTGCGATACATGTATTTGGTAGTCTTGGATTTGTAATCTGTCTCCTACCTTATCTCCAGAAGAGGCGTCTTGCCCTCCAAGCCTTGTACTAAATATATACTCGTCCTGAAGGCTCAATAATACATCCATCATATTCCACCGATCTCTTTCTCCCTTTTAACATGGTACCAGAGCTAAGAGGTCTTGATTTCAAGACCCTGTCAACGCAGTATTAAATAAAACGATTCTGCGGCCTATATCGATCCCACGTGTAAGGGCTAAAATAGTCTAGACGTGAGGGGAGGTGTTGAAGTATATTGCCCACCTCCCTTCATCAGTTCGGACTTTTGAATGGGTGGCTGAAGCATGAATTTAACAGGACCGGCTGCTATCATTTCTTTAATCTGGCTTGTAGCGAAGGCAACCATGGACCTGGATTCGCTCCTCGCATTTCGGTAATGGACACCAAACGACCTCCAGATTCACTGCGGACTAAGCAACATGAACGTGCATTAACGTTGTAGTAGTATGGATCTGCAAGCGTCTTGCTCCCTCCTTTCCACGTCCTACGCAACGTAATTGAATCAAGCTCGATCGATCAATCCTCCACTAGGCACTTAGAACCAAAACCTGCATCGCGAGCAGTACGTAGCTAGATACAGGTTGGGAGGGGAGAATCAAATGGAGGGCGAACTGCTGGGGAAGAAGCAACTCAGCCCCCCCAACAGGAGGCGGTGGTGCAGATGCAGCACGACCACGGTGACGCTGCTGCTCTTCCTGGTCACCAACACCACCTCCATCCTCCTCTCCTCCGGCGCCGGCGCCTCGGTCGTCCGCCGCTACGAGCCCGCCACCGTCCGCCTCTGGGACGACTCCGCCGCCCTCCTCGCGGACCTCAATGCCACGCGGTCCGCGCTCGAGTCCAGCCGCGTCGAGCTCGCGGGCCTCCACGCGCGCCTCGGCACCGCCACCGCGCTCCTCCAGACCCTCCTCGCCGAAGCGCGCGGCGGCGATGATCAGCAGAAGGAGGAGGCGCCCGCGTCCGGCAACGGGTGGTGGGCGCGCGAGCTGGCCGGCGAGCTCAAGCTGGCTGTCGGGAACGCCACCGCCGGCGAGGCGGCTCTTGGCCACGCGTGCGGCCGCTTCCAGGACGAGCTCGAGCGATACATGGACTACAAGCCCGGCGGCGAGTGCCCGTCCGACGCGGCGCTCGAGCACCTGCTCATGCGTGGGGGCTGCGAGCCCCTGCCTCGGCGGCGTTGCCGGCCGCGGTCACCGGCGGGGTACGTGGAGCCAGCGCCGCTGCCGAAGAGCCTGTGGTCAATGCCGGCGGACGCCAGCGTCGTCTGGGACGCATACCACCCGTGCAAGAACTACTCGTGCATGGCGAGCCGCGGCTTGGGCTTCGACCTCCGCGGCCGGCGCGAGAAGGGCCTGTGGACGCGCGACGACGCCGCGCTCGCCTACTCCGTCGACACGGCGCTCGCGGCCAAGCCCAAGGGCACGGTGCGCATCGGACTCGACATCGGCGGCGGGGGCGGCACGTTCGCGGCCCGGATGCGCGAGCACGGGGTGACCGTAGTGACCGCGACCACCAACACTGGGGCGCCGTTCGGCAGCTTCATCGCCTCGCGGGGGCTCATACCACTGCACGTCGGCCCGGCGCGCCGCCTGCCCTTCTTCGACGGCACGCTCGACGTCGTACACGCGGGACGCGAGCTGACGGGCGGCTGGATGGTGCCCGGCGACGGCGTGGCGCTGGAGTTCGCGCTGTTCGACGTCTACAGGGTTCTCAGGCCCGGGGGGCTGTTCTGGCTGGACCACTTCGTGTTCCCCGGCGCGCAGCTGAACGCAACGTACGCTCCAATGCTTCACCGCGTGGGGTTCAAGAGGCTGCGGTGGAACGCCGGCCAGAAGCCGGACGGCGGAGTGGAGAAGAACGAGTGGTACCTCTCGGCGCTGCTCCAGAAGCCCATGACATGACTCGGAGACTGACTTAGGCAAGAACCTGAACCAAACAAACTGTAATCTGGAGGCTGAACTGTTTTTCGCAACCGAAGTACTGCTGGGCGGTCTGAGAACATTGTAACTTCTATATCTATCGGGAAACAGAACAATTTCATCATGCGTTTTCTTTTCGTGCTATTTTGCCCTACTCAATTCTCATCAAATTCAAGTTCACTACTCCTACCATGGTTATTTCTGAACTGAACTATCTACGTAGTTGAGCTAAGCACACTGGACTTGGATTTTGTTCGACATTCCTAAAGCAAAAGCCGAATCCAAACAATCCACTACCAGCAATGATGTACACCCTCCTTCAAAAAGGAAGCCTATAAAATTTGTCTCAAGCCAAACAGTGCAATGGATTGTTGATCACAAACTCAATCGAACGTTTGACTTCAAGACAAAATTTATAGGCCTTCTTTTGGGAGATGGAGGGAGTACATTATACTCCCTGCGTTCCTAAGTACGGGTCTTTTTAGAGATTTCAATAAGAACTATATACGGATGTATATAGACATATTTTAGAGTATAGATTCACTCATTTTGCTCCGTATATAGTCTGCATTGGAATCTCTAAAAAGACTTATATTTAGGAACGGAGGGGTCTAGGGAGGGATTATAGGAACCTAGTCGCAATGCAGAGAGACTGGTTCGAATAAGACGTCTTGGCACAAGTGGGGAGGACTTCACTACTGTGCCAGGCCTGCCCTCTGCTCTGAAAACGTTTAGGACCACAAATAGCCAAAGGATGTCAAGATATCAGCAATTGCACTTGCTAAACCCACATGTCTATTTCCTTACACATGTACCCATGACAAGTTCTATGTATGATCCAATCCAATTTAACAACACTCGAAAGTATGTACAACTTCCTTGATGTCAACAGAACAACAGAACTATGTATTGCCAATCTTCCAATCAAGGTGTACCCTACCAATTCAATTGTACAAATCAATCACCTGATCTTGTAAGCCCAACCATGTTCCTTCAAAAATACATCTACAGCCTCCTTGACGGCGAGGTTTGATATTAGTTGGAATGGTTCCAGTGGTTCACGGGTCACAGGGTCAAATTTCCCAACCTACGAATTTGAAAGCCTCATGAGTTTGGTACGCAAAACATGAGTAGCCAATTATGTCTCAAGAGATTTGTGTTTATTTTACGCTTCTCGCTTACCCTGTTTAAATGGTCAAGAATCACAGCCCTCTCATAAGTAATTCCGCTTGGAGTGATCACTGGATCCCTGAAGATATCAAGTGTAATCTTGCAGCAGAGATGGTCAGGAACCTGCACAAAATGCATGTTGTTTGATTATTAAACCAGGCCTTCCGGTATAAGTAAATACTATGTAAGGCAGTTTCATACTTCTGTTGGAGTATCGGCCTTTGCAGCTTTCCTGAAAACTTCGTCTAGCTCATTTAGATGCTCTTCAGACATGTCTCCAGTTGGATTATCAAGGCTATTATAGCTCTTTAGAGCTTCTTTACATGTTGCACTGCAAATGGACAAATGATAGGTTAGACAGGAACTGCAATACATCCCACTGATATGAATTAAGCAATAGATACGCACTTCAGTTTATGCAATTGAGAGGATCGCATTTTTGATAGGCCTTCCCATTCAATGTATTTTGCTTTAGAAAGCTCTTGCCATATCTCTTCAACCATATAGCTTGCAGGATGTGCACCCCTTCCAAGCTCCAAAGACTAATTTTGCATAATTTGGTTCATCAATAAAAATGGCATAAACATAATTGTTTTGCAACTAAACTAACATCATCAAATGAGCAAACTACATCGACGCTGGCATTTGGCATCGTACTTTCCTGTTTGTGTTGGTAGTTGGTACTATACCCATGATCAACACCGCACAACAATTTTTTTTAACTCGGATTAAGATCACATTTGCAAATTATCAAAATAAAAAGGGGGGGCAGCCCCAGTGCATGTAGCTCCCGCTTGCGCAGGGTCTGGGGAAGGGTCCGACCACTTTGGGTCTATTGTACGCAGCCTTTCCCTACATTTCTGCAAGAGGCTGTTTCCAGGACTTGAACCCATGACCTCATGTTCACAAGGCAGCAGCTTTACCACTGCGCCAAGGCTCCCCTTCGCAGATTACCAAAATGAGTGAACAAAAGTAAGGCAGGTGTTTGTTAGTAGGATGTGCTCCCAATCAATACTGTGTCTCTGAAAAGGCCAAATTGGTATCTAACGAATGACAAATAATTTGGAGTCCAATACAAACATCCAAACACAGCATTAGGGCATATGTAAAGAGGAAAAGGCAGGAAAGAATGCCAGTAAAGCGCAGTTAAACCATCAGCCATAAGTGGGTTACTCGCGTTAATGGTAAGTCAATATTTTCTTGAAATAGTCAGATCAATATTTATAGTTGGAGCAACAAAGAGCTTAACAAGAGAGGAACCTTTTCTAGTGCTTTTATTCCTCCAGCCAATTCCTGCCTGTTGAGAAGTGCAAGCCCAAGCATGTAATGCGCCTACCAACAGAGTAAAAAAAATTGTCACTACAGACAGGAGAATAAACATACTAACATTGCAAGGAAAATATTAGGATGATGCTTTTTCAACAAAAAGAAAACTATGTCACATGCAGTGTAACATCAAGTTCGAACAGTGGCGTTCAAGCCGATTTCAAAATGTCCAAACCTGAAGCAACCATCTCTTACTTTCTCTCTTTGAAAAGGAAGCTGAATAATCTTGAAATGCTACATGTACTTTTATGATTAACTTTTTACCAAGGGTATTTGAAGCATATATACATTACCTAAAGCAGGAACACTACAGGTAATAGGTTTGCTTACAGATTCACGAGGCAATTCATACTTTGACTTTTAGTGATGATGAATGTCACAATACATTCAAGGTCATTATGCTCAGATGTCTCAAGGCAAACAAAACGCAAGCTCGATATTGAGTTAACAATGAGCACAACTACATAGCTACATATCTCAAGTAACCTCCCAACTGAGAGGTCAACACCGTGCAACCTCAAATTGTTCATATGTCTAGGTCCAGTTTCTAATTGCAGAATAAAGTGCACACTAAAAGATCCTGCAATACCGAATGAAGCCTAACTTAACTAGAGTGCGTATACATGCTACAAGGAGTTTCTTAAAACAGGGTAAAAGATCCAATCCATTACATCTTTGGTCAAAACGGAAAATGCTACTCCGTCCAATCCGAATGAATTGATGCAGCCTCTATACAATGTATAGAGTACATTGTATAGAGGCTGCATTAATTCATTCGATCAGAGGGAGTTGTTTTCACTACAGGAAAATTCCCTGAAAAACAGTAAAGTGGACTACATCTCTCAATTATTTAGTATGATGTGCAGCATGACCTTGGAATACATAAACAAAGCATTTAAAGAGGTTAACTACTAAATAAATCTCAAGAGACAAACTCACCTTAACGGAGTGGCTGTCATAATGGATAGCCATTCTACAATCTTCCTCAACCTTAGCCCACTCACTGCCAAATTCAATAGCGACACAGTACAATGTAAACCTTGGACCATGCAAAGACGCGACAAATAAATGAAAATAAGAGTTGCACATACTTCCGCTTCTTATAGCACAGTGCTCGGTTGGTCCAGTATACTGCAACATTTTGGCAGAGAGCTATAGCCTGTCAACCAATAATATACTGAAGTTAGCAAGGAAGGTGTAAATAATGCAGGAATTCTAAATTAAAAGGCACACCAAGTCGACGGAATAAATATTTGTACAACCATGAAGAGAAATTTTAAGACGCTCCCAAACTTTCTGGGCCATTCATTTTTATTGATCCACGGAGCAAGATTAAAAATGGTAACCTATTACCAGGCCCCGCCCTGGGACAGGGCGGCCAGGGCAACCGCCCTGGCCCCCTAAACCTCTAGGGGGCCGGCCGGCCCAGCTAAGTCGGTAATAACTTTTAGAGCCCAAGCACTGAAGTGTCCAACTAAATCGATAAATGGCAAACATCCAATAAACTCTAGTACAGGCAGCGGCGGCCCATTTGCATCCTTTGTTCGCTTGACTGGAGAGTGCCATTTTACTCTAGCTAGCTAAAAGAAACTATTTACTCCAGAGCAAATGACGTGCATTCGCAGCAACAGTTTTGCTCGTACAAAATAAAGGCTACCTCATTCTTGCTCTTCTCTTTCCCAAACGATAGCGCGCTAGCCTTGGTAAAAAGCATAAGAAATACTCCTGGTTCTAAAAATATAATTTGCATTCTTCTAACTTTTTCAAAAAAACCAATACTGGGGTCAGTAATATGTGTAGAACTTTAAGTTCCGTAGCACTTTCTGTCGCATGTGCACCAAAATCAAACTTAAAGCACCCAAGCCTGCAGTTCTAGCACCTCATTTTCTCTTTCTCATGCGTACTTCAATCACTATTTTTTTCACATGAACTTGAAGATACCTAGTTCATTCTATTATCTACTTGCGTCGTTTTTTTTTTGGTTTTTGAATTTTTCTAATTCATTCCTTATTTGTTCTAAAATAAAGGGAGCACACGCACCTAGGACCCGAGTGTACGAAAACAACATCCGCACAGGATTTGCCTAAAAGCCTAATCACAATTTCTTACGTTGTCACAACTAATAATGTAGGAGATATGTCGACCGACATCCTCGCTTTCTACGGGAGTACTATTTTTCGTTCTCCAGGTTCAACTTGTGTCTTGGATGTAATTCGTCTTTTTAGGCATGTTTGGGCAAACATAGAAGTTAATATCACAAAGGTAACATAATAACCGAGAGGAATGGCTATAAGCTTATAACTATAGCTTTTTTTTGAGAATCATATAGCTTTGCACTAGTTTTCAATTACTAAGGGGCCCCGGGCTTTGGTTTCGCCCCGGGACCCCTGAAATCCAAACCGGACCTGCCTATTACTCCCTCCGTTCTGAATTACTTGTCTTAGATTTGTCTAGATACGGAGGTATCTAGCACTAAAATGAGTCTAGATACATTCGTATCTAGACAAATCCAAGACAACTAATTCAGAACGGAGGGAGTACCAGCTAGGGGGCAATAGGTCACCCGTAACTACCAAATAGGCATCAATGTCTTTTGTATTTGGTGTATTGCGCATCAAAAAGGGCAACCTGGTGCATGTAGCTCCCGCTTGCGCAGGGTCCAGGGAAGGGTCCGACCACTTTGGTATATTGCGCATCAACGGAAATAATATATTTGGAAGGCCCATAGCGTACGTACGCATCTGTATACGTTAACATGAGAAAACATGTAACATGTACGTGAAAACACATACGTATCTGAGCAGTTTACTACATGCATACATGTGTATGATCGATCGAAAAGAACTCTTAACAATGTACTACTGCTATGACAAGGCGTACGTAACCCTAAAACCATTTCTATGTTGATTTTGACAATGTACTAATGTTTATATTTGATGAATTTGTAGTTTTCTTTCGTGAAATAAAATATGGTTGCAGCATGTACCTGCTTGAAAGTATAACATGGAGACCACGTTATGTCTATTTCCATTTGTGCAATAGGTTTCCAAATAAAAGCACATTTGTGATTCACTTCATTGTGTTCTCGAAAAGACAATAATTAATTACCTTCTGTATAGTCAAATACGAGGGAAATCAAATGGCCTTGCATCTTACAAGATGAAAGGCACCGACTATAGCCTTCTATAATGGACATGGTCATATAATTCCAGCTAATTTTAGCAAGTGAACAGTTCAGAGGTATTCACTTCTGTTACCTCATAGAGGGCAAGCTGGAGCATCTTAAAAGAGCTCATGATTTGAAGAGGCAAAACAAGAGGATTTCTCAATTAACTAGAACTAAATTGTAGTCTTAGCTGGATTGCAAACATGTTTAACATGCCGCGACATTCCATCTTTCTTGTGACCATAGCAGAAGTTATAATTTATAGAGTTCACATATGCAACACTTCTAGAAATACGCGAGTAGTTTCTAATTTCTATGCCCAGGTGTAAAAGTAAACAATGGTACAGAAACCACATTCTCTGTTCTCTCTTCTCCAAGGTCCGAGCAGGCCTTAACAAAGCATCGGCATTGAAAATGAATACCCAATATAAGCATCGGCATTGAAAATGAACACCCAAGATGCTTAAATGTAACTCATCCTGCATTTCTTACCTGCACAATGACATAATGGTGTTCTGTTAAGTAGCTCCTCTCAGCTAACAAATAGGCAAGAATATGTGTAATCACTGATCACGCCACCTAACTGCTCAAAGGTAAAAGCACACACATATGGGTAATGGCATAGCCTTCCATGTCAGACAATTCAGCAAAGCTACAGTTGGTACTCGGACGCAATCGGGAGAATTCGGCACGAATTCCAGATGATTGATCACAGTAACGGCCCAAAAACTAGCCACGATTCTCGGCAGAATGGGCTCCACACCGCTGAACCATCCCGCAGCACACGGAATCGTCTGAAGCAAATGGAGCATAGGGACACCAATCCAGCAAAAAATCGACGCGCGAAGATAAGCTAGCCGCGCGGCGGCGAGCGCGAGCAACCCCTGCTTACCCCGGTGTAGGCGTCGATGGCGGCGCTGATGCGGTCCTTCTTGAAGCAGGTGTTGCCCTCCTGCTTGAGCAGCTCCGCCTGCCGCTTCGATCCCGATGCGCTGTCCGCCGCCGGCGACATCTCCGGCGGCCTGGCTTCGTGCCGGCGAGGAAGGAACGGGGTTGGTGGATGGGTGGGAGAATGGGGGGAGATTTGGGTCTGGAAAAATCGTCGCGTGCGCCTCGAGGCTTCTTCCCCTTTCGAATTTGTATCGATCCCCCGAACGCGAGACGAGGAAAACCTGGGGTGCGTTTTTCCGTTTTTGCACGGAGGCCCCTCTATTTGACTATCCCAGGGCTAAAATTCAGACGTTATGGCTCGCATTCGCGGGTACGCTCGTTGAAAAAATAGACCAAATATTTGCAGCTCGGTAAAAAGTTAATTCTAATAAATTACTACTGCTTTTCTAGGGAATCTAATAAATAATACTCCCTCCGTAAACTAATATAGGAGCGTTTAGATCACTACTTTAGTGATCTAAACACTCTTATATTAGTTTACAGAGGGAGTACCTAAATTACAATCAATCTTACGTACTACTCCCTCCGTTCCAAAATAGATGACTCAATTTTATATTAACTTTAATATAAAAATTTTATATTAACTTTAATACAAAATTGGGTCATCTATTTTGAAACGGAGGGAGTACTAAGTTTACAGTTCACAACATATACATAATCGGTGTAAAAGGAGATGAACTGTTTCTTTTTTCTTTCGAGCAACAGGCAGGAGCTCTACCTTTTCATCATTAAGAAAAAAAAGAATTGATCAATTTATAAGAAAAGCTGGATGAAAACTGATACATCTACAATATACGCACACGCTAGATGAGGATATGCACCAAGTGAATCGCCGAAAGTGTCACCCAAGCGACCGGAGCCGCCGCCCAGACGTCCACATCGATCCTGAGGATGTGCACCAGTTAGTTGATGGCTTTGCCGCCCTAGAGGCCAAAACCAACCCCCTACACACATGAGATCTTCGGCGCCGCCGCGCCGACTTGCACACCGGCCCCAGGGCCGTGGATCCACCTAGTCGACGGTCATGTTACCCTAGCGACCAAAGCCAAACACCAGACAGAGTAGACTTTGGGAGCCGCCACTCCGACTTCCACACAACCCCTGAGTCGCGCACTCACCTAGACGATGACGAAACTACAAAACCACAGAAGTCACCGCCAATGGATGAAGGACCGGACCACCAAGGCGTCGCCCCCAAAAGGGAAGCCTCTGACGGCCACTTCGGCCAAGGTTGAAGATTGGGTTTTCACCCGAAGAGCTCATGGCGTAGATGACGAGGGGTGAAGGGGTTGCAAGACTCCTCCAATGAGGGAACTACTACCTAGGACGTCATCGACGCCGCCATCGACCGATGTCAATCTAGGCTTTCACCTGGAGCTCACCAAACTCGTCTTCACCACAGCAATCACAAATGACGGCGACCAAGCACGCTCACAGCCTGCCACCGCCAACCACCACCTACACGGCCGACAAAACCACCACGCCCCCTCGCGCTGCCATAACAGCCCCAAAACCACTACCAAGAGCGGCGCCGCTGCGCCCTACATCCTCACTGCAATAGAAGACATCGCAACCCCACCACCGCAGAAGCCTGTGCTGTTGATGGCGCGGGACAGAACCGGCTGGAGCCAGACCACACACGGCCAAACCACGCCACAGTGTCGCCCGCCGCCAGCCGAATCGAAGCAGCCCACCATGCACCAGATCCGGGGTTGCCCGGCCAAGATTCGCGTCGCGGAAGCCATCGGGACCTGCCACACAAGCACCAGCAAGCTGGGCTCACCTCGTGTCGCATCCCTATCGCCCGGCGACCCAGGGCACAGGGAGCAATCATCGGGCCGCCACCATGGTCGCCTCCACACCAGATCCGGGCGCGAGGACCCTAGATCCGTCGCCCTACGCAAGGAAAAGATCTCAACACCATGATCGCAGCCCGCATAGCAACTCTTGCATCAGCGCCAGCACGAGCTAGCCACGAGGACGACCACGCTCGAGTGTCGCCGATGCCGCATAGTCTTTGCCCGGCAGCACTTCCTAGCGGCAATGAGGGCAGAGGTGGCCGAGAGGCGGCTGTCTGGAGATGGCTTGTTTTGCAGCCCGTGTCGCTCATGCGGAGCAACACAGGGGCAGATTTTTCGAGATTGACTGTTTTGGCAAGGCAATCCTTAGCTTTTTGTAAGCACAATCCCCAAAAATAGCATCATAATTACCATTTTTTGTCCTTGGACTTTTCATGAGGTACATGTTTGATCTTTGCTATTATGTTAAAATTTCAAACAATTCAAAATTGACACAGACATTGCTTAAATCAAGCTCTCGATCAATCTGAACATATTTCAAGATGGTTTTGGTTGACACGTCTACCGCATTGATCTTAGAAGCTTTGTCATGAGGAAACCCTATGAAAAAATGGCACATCAAGGTAAGTGTGTGATGCCATGTTTTTTTATCCATGGGTGGAAGATTGAATGCATTTCTCTTTCTCTTTAGCTTTGAACTGGTCGGATGAACCATGTGTGGTGGCCAAGACATGACAAAACTATAGTCGAGTATAACTCATCTTTTACAAATGTAGACTTCCTAGTGCTCAACTAACTTGGGTTACATGAGACACTAGTGTTGCGGCGTGGTATATATGGCTGGAGAGGAGATACTCTATGCAGGCATGGTGAACGGATGTTAGTCTTGGTCTATTTGTAATGGCAATCAACACACTTGCCTACTTTTCTAAATCTACGTCTATGGGTGGCATTAAGCATCATGGTTGTGTAAAGCCACCTCCACACGTGATCAAGGTTAACTACCAATGTTGGCTTTGACAAGGACCATCGACATGGTACAGTTGGAGGCATTGTTCATGACGACAAGGGTTGCTTCATAGTGGCAGCGAATAACAAGTTTGATTCAATCCATGGTGCTAGTGGGGCTGAAGATGTCGCTCTCTGCTATGGTATGGACTTGGGCCTCTCTAGTAGGTTACAACTGCTTCATTGGTGGTTTAGATAACCCATATGTTATACAAATACGAAGGATGAAAGTGCACGACTGAAAGAGGATGGTGCCCCCTTGTTTGGTTTCGGTAATTGATGACAATCCTTATGGACTAATGGTTGCCTTGAGTTATATTTGAAAGGTTTGTCCATAGGCAATTCTTCAAGACCATTTGTTGGTTTCAAGGTTATTAGAAGAAGATTATGTGTTGACCAAGGTGCTATTCAAGGAGTTATCCAACTATTGGTCATATGAGAGTTGAGGCTATTGCAACCATGTCTTGAAAAGGAAGATTATGTGAACATTCATGTTTACCTTCAATACATAACCTTTATGAAGAGAGAAGATAAGATACAAGGTTGATCAAGACTAAGTACAAATAGTGGGTTCAAGTTGATCAACACACAAAGCGTAGAAGATGTACCGAGTGGGATCAAGTAATCTCATGATGAGGTAAGCATTGTCCATTGCACTTTGTTTACTAACCCATGATCTTTGTGGGGTTTCTTTGTGGAGTTAGGTATGTTTCCAAGGGCTTGCATCAAGAGAAAGATCTCATATAACCCATGAAAGATGACATCAAGTGGTGATCGTCATCAAGGTTGTGTAATGCAAATTCAAGTGAAGCATCGTGAAGAGATATCATGCTTGAAGCCTGCTGTCCATTCTCATGATAATGGACATGTAAAGATGTGCCTAAGAGAGGCTCAACTATAGTGGAGTATGGGTGTGACACCCCTGTAATATAGCTATAGTTGAAAACCAATTCAAATGCAAGTTGAATAATTAAATTTTTCAAAAGGTAAAATAAAAATGTAGGTTGGGTTGGAAAAATTCACTAACTAATTGTCATGTAAGAATCAGCGTTTTTCAGAATATAAAAAACGAGCTATTTAAAACTGTTCTAGCAGCATTTTATTGAACCAATTTAATTTAAACAAATATTCAACTATTCCGAAATATTTTTAACTGGTTGGACTAACCCAAAACCTTGCCTAGTATTTATGTGCTAAGTTGCACATTTAACTAAATTCATTTGGTAGCTTAGATTAATGCAAAATAGTAAAAAAAATACAAAACAGAAAAAGAAAAAGACAATAGAAAAGAAAAGGAAATAGTGTTACTGTGCACTTGGGCCGGCCACAGCCACCGTGCGGCCTAGCCCACACTGGTCGGCCTTTTCCCCTACCTCAGGGTTGTGGGAGCTGAGGCGATGGCGTGGCGCACATCCACGGCCACCCTAGCTTGATGCTCTCCACGGCGCTGCTACAGGGTTGCCGAGGAGGATAAGAGCATCTCCTTCGACCCTCCTAGCAACCCTAGTCCCACTTCTCCCTCTCCTCGAATCGCCCCTTTCCCCACAACCCGCAATCGAACCGCCGCCATCGCCATGGATGCCCTCGCTCGTGTGCTCTCCGACCTCCCCGCGCCCTAGGATGGTGTCCGCCCGCACCTCCATCGTCTGCTACCTCCTCTCCGACCACGAGCTCGAGCTCGGGACCCCTACATCATCGGACCGGGCTTCATCTTCCTCGGACCACCGCCGGCGATCCCCTTCAACTCCAGCCACCCCCGCGCTCCTAAGCCATCAACGAGCTGCCTTATGCTCCTCGGTGAGCACCGCCCGCTTCCCTTCTGTCCCCCCTCTTGTTTTGATGCCTGTGGTTTGCCTCGCCGCCGTCTGTAGCATTGCCGCCGCAGCCATAGAACGCCTAGCTCGTGCTCGAGCCGCACATCGGGCTCCTGGAACCCCCAGGAGGCCAGCAAGCCCTCCAGCTCCTGCTGCCGTGCGTCGTAGCCCCTTTCCGGCAAGCACTTGTAGTAGCCACCGCCTCTGGTCGCCACCGCTGCCATTTTAGTCCGCCCCTGGCCACGGCGCTCGCACCGCTCGATGCGCACTACCGCGCTCGTTCGAACGCGGGGTCCCGCCGCTCGTTTGGACATTGGGCAGCAAATCCCGACGCCCTCCGCCGCGTCGCCACCGCCCTGGGCGACTACCAAGTGGGACCGGGCCGTCAGGCCACTTAGTTAGCCACTAACCCCCCCACCCCCTCCCCCTCAAAAAAAACT